GCCATGGGCTGGGACAATCCCAAGCACAAACACAGGCTGGATAAAGAATGAGTGGAGATCAGTCCTGGAGAGAGGGATTTGGGAACTTTGATGGATGAGAAACTTGATGTGCCCCAGCCCTGTGAATGCAGCAGCTTGGCTGTACCCATTGCAGGGCTCCCCTGGGAATCCTGGTGAGGCTTTCCTTGACCCCCTGTTTTGGGAAACCTCTGTGTGGTGGCACAGCTTTCCCTGCTCCATCACGAGCAGGGCTGGCTGCAGCTCTGCAGGCTGGAATATGTGTTTAACAACAAACCCTTGCAGACATCATTTGGGACCGTCTTTAGCTCGCTCTTAAAGATATTTAAAGACTTTGCTTTGTTTTAAGACTTCTGATCTTCCTGTAAGCTCAACCTCTTCAACTTTTACAATTTATTGGGACTTGGTTTCAGCTGTGTAAGGCCACTGGTTGCTTTTGGTCTGGATTTTTGCGCTGGGAGTCAGCTAATGGGTCATCCTTTGGGACATTGGGGTATTTGTGATTATTTTTAGCCTTTAATTGGCAGTGATCTGTACTTGGAGCTCCAGAGTGTCAAGGGCTTTTCTCTTTGTGCTCTCAAGAAGCTTTCCTTTCTCTTTCATCTGGATGCAGCTGTGTTTCCCTTCTGCTCACAAAGTGCAGAGTACATGGGGAAACCAGCTCCAAGAACCATCCCAAAGGCTGGTGAGGCTCAGGGAGCAGCACTGGGGATGGCAGCTGCTGCAGGACACCTGAGCAGCACCATGGACCTGCTCCCTGACCTTCACCAGCCACTTCCTTGCTCCAGGCCACTATTTTTTCCCCTCTTCTTCCCCTCTTTTGTCTTGCCCCGTTTAGCTGTAACCTCCTTCGGGCAGGAACACGGTGTGTGTGTTCATATAAAGGGCTGAGAACAATGTGCCCCAGATGGTTTGTACAAGTGCCTTCTCTGCAGCCACGGGGTTTCATTCTGCAGGAAAGAAATTCTTAAAAATACAACTCCTCAGCATCTTATACTTGCAAATGTGGGCAGGAACTTCCCGAGCCTTGATATTTTGGTCCAAGTCACAGAGACAAGGGGTAGCACTAGAACTGCAGCTTTTCTTTTAAGGAAAAAAACAACTCCCCCCAACCCCAATTCCCCTTTTCTCACCCTTTCATCTGAAGTAAGCCACTAGAGTGGCTCTGACCTGCTTAAAACCAGATGGCAAAGAAAAAGGACACAGTATTTCAAGAAAAGAATTATGATCTCCTTCTTTGGGGATCAGAGGGTGTGTGGGCTTGCCCCCTTTTTTATGGCACTTTCGGTGCTTCTGAGGTTTTGTTTTGGGGGTGCTGAGACACTTGCCTGCAGTTTGTTTCTTTTCCAGGATCCCTGGCTTGGAGCACTGGCACTGCAAACACCACAGGGCACTGCTTATTTGCTTTAAGACCACAGCTTGCTTTGGAATTTCTTCTGCCAAACTTCAGGCCAATTCATTTTTTTTCTTAATTTATCCCACTCCCTCCTAAAGAGAGAAACAAGTTTTCTTAGTCTCATCTTGCATCGGATTTGATTCCAGGCCAGCAAATCAAGCCTAGAAGGTGCTTTCCGGAGGCTGCTTGCCTCACTGTGACCTTCTGGGAGAGGATTCCTGTGCAAAATGGAAGGATGTGACATCAATTTTATCCATGGAATCTTCCCCCATGGTGCTGCTGCCTGGGGAGGATGGGTCAGGTCTGGGTCCCTGCTGCCCATCCAAAGGCTGCTGTGTTTTAACAAACACAGGGGGTTTTTTGCTCCAGAGCAGTGTGAGTCCTGGGATTTTACCAAAAGTTTCTGTTTCTAATTAGGTTGTTCTCAATTTTAAAGGCCAGTGATCCCTTTATGGCACAGGGTGGAAAACCTGAGCAGTCACTGACACTGCACAAAGGTGGGTCCTGCTTTTGTCCCGAGGTCCAGGGAGCCACTGTGTCTTCTTGGCACTCCTGGGATGAGGAAATAAATTCCTCCCAGCCCTTGGCTCATCCACGGGGGAGGCTGGTGGGCAGAGTGTGAGGGAGCATCACTTGCCCTGGCCTGACTCACAGGGATATGGTTCAGGGATTTCCTGCTGCTCTGACCGCCCGGCTTGGGAAAGGGGGGATTGCAGGATGGCAGTCCCAGCGTGGGGGGCTGGGCTGTGGCTTCGCTGGGTGAGAATCTGGCCCAGATGCCTGAAATTGGGGTTTGGAGTTGGGCCTTTCCATGAAGGCTGCTCCTGCAGGCAGGACCAGAGTTGTGCTGTGCTGATCCCTGCGTTTGTCTGGGCTGGGAGAAGGCAGCACAGTCTCCCTGTGCTCACAGGAAACAGGATTTAATTTTTCCCTTCTGTCTCACTTCATTGTCTGAAATTCCCTAGCAGAGGCTGGCCCATAACTCTTCAAAGAAAATAATCCCGGGCACCGGGGCTGGAGCTCCCTCGGCTCTGGCTGTCGGCCGCCTGACTCTGTGCAAACAGTCTGGGCCTAGAATCCCCTGGGACTGAGCATAAAGGTCTGATTCAGAAGGAAAACAGGTTATGGAGCAGCAGGGCCTGTGCATCACCGCCTGCTCCCCTCTCCCAGCGTGTGGCTGGAGCCGTGTCCAGGGACAGCAGCTCCCAAACCACCAGGCGAGAGCTGCCTGCTCTGGGAGCTGGGAGGCTGTGGGGGAATGGCTCCTGGCATCCTGTGGAGGTGGGAGAAGCATGAGGAGGTCGGGAGGGCAGCACCATGTGCTGAACCAGAGCGGAAATTATTGGGGGAGCGAAGAATGAGCAGGATATCACGTGTGGGCCGTGCGCGCTCGGGGCTGGGGCAGAACAAAGCGCAGGGAAACCCTGCTCCTGCCGCTCCCACCCTGCTTCCTGCTGGCACGGACATGCTGCTGGGGGAAGGGAGCATCAGGGCAGAAGCCAGCCCGTGGCTGCCCACCTTTGGGAGAGCTGGAAGGCTCCCTGTGCCTCAGTTTCCCTTGGCTGAGGTGTGCTGGTTGAAGCAGGATGGTCCCCAGTTGTTGGTGTGCTGGAGGTGGCCTTGGAGGGCCAGGCTGCTCTGCTCTAGGGATGCTTCAGAGGTGTTGGATGGAGGCTGGAGCCTGTGGGGGCAGGAGGGGGCTCCCATGATGCATGAAAGCCTTATTCTCCTGTGCTTGAACAGGCAGGTCCCACCAGTGGGACCCCTGCAGTCTGCACCTTTGGAGCTGCTCTGGTCCCTCCTGGAGAGCAGTGGCAGTGTGCCAGGATGCTGTGGAGAGGTCAGGAGGGGGCTGGGAGCAGGAAAGCCATAGGTGGGGGGCCCTGGACCCTTACACAGCCAGTCCTTCCCCCTGCTGAGCTCTGGCAGGTGTCTTTTTCCCTGAGTTGCTCTTAGAGCTCCCCCATTTCCCCCTGTGCACCCTTGAGCATGAGAAACTTTTTTTTGGTTATTAATAGCTGTTGAGAGCCAATAAAAAGTTTTCCAGGGTTTGGCCAAGTATCAGAGCTTGCAGTGTGTTCATTTCCTGGAGCCCAGTGCTGGAGGGGGGGTTTGCTTGGATAACCCATGGGGTCAGCAGGAGTCTGTGGCACTGGGGGCTCCTGGGAGGCTTTCAGATGTCACAGGGGCCTGCAGAGCCACAGAAGGAGGTGGGGAGAGTCAGGGGGAAATGGAGATGTGGGTCTCTCACGTGCCCTCCCAGTGTGTGCCCAGATCCTTCTTGACCCCCTCTGTCTGGGTTTAGCTTCCTGACTGTCCTTCCTGCCTCCCACACGGGCATCCCTGTGAGGAGGGACCCAGCCTGACCTTCCCCCAGTGCAGAGGAGTCCCATTCTGGAGGAATGCTGGAGGGAGGGAGAGCGCAGATCCCTCTTGGGCCCCTGGTTCCTTGAGCACAGAGCATGTCAATGGTTCTTTTCATCCCACTCGTGTGTCCAGAAGGAAGCAAGGGATTGGTTTGGCCTTGATGTTGTGCTGTTGTACCCACGTAAGGACAGACAGCTGCACAGGGATGTGTGTGGAGCCAGTGTCATGGAATCATGGAGTAGTTTGGTTTGGAGGGACCTTTAAATGTCACTTCATCCAGCCCCTGCCATGAGCAGGGCTGTGCACACAGGAAGGAGCTCCCTGGTTCGGGGGGCTGAGCTGATTCCTGCCTGTTTTGGGGAGCAGAGGGGAACCTGGATAATCCCACCAGCAGCACGGGGGTTTCCAGCAGCCTCACTGGGAGCACGTGAGGCATGAAAGGTGCTGCACCCCTGAGCAAACAGGCTTCCACGAGCATAATTTGCTCTGGCAAGTGTCACAGCATTGGCCCAGGCTGCAGCCAAGGGGCCTCGCTCCCAGCTTTGCAATTAAAATCTAGGTTGGTTGATAAGAGCAGAGGAAGAGGCAGTGGGATGTTAGTAAGTTCCTGTTTGCCAAGTGGGTGTTTTCCCCCAGCCCAGGTGGGCTGTGGTGGGTGCCCTGAGTGTGGCTGTTCCCCAGGAACCATATCCTGGGCAGGGCTGCTGGCACAAGATCCTGCCCCTGGATCCACAGAGACCCTCCCAGCCAGGTGAAATCATTTTCATTGCATGGGCAGCCCCATGCCTGGCATGGTGTGCCCATAATGCTGGATTCATGTGTGTCCTGTGCTCCTGAGGGGCTCTCAGAGTCCCTGGCTGGTGCCTCCAAACGCTTCCAGAAGCTGCCAGCAGCCCTTCCCCATGGGAACAGTTTTGCCCCCACATCACTCTTAGGGCTCCAACATGGAGACACTCGTCAACCATTTCACCTCTGACTGACCAAACTTTATTAAAATTAATTTGTCTGTTTATTTAAAGCAACATCTCAAGCACAGAGCACTCTGGAACCTGATTTTTATCCCAGCTCCTCCCACCCCTCAGCTGCAGCACTGTCATTGCAGCAGGAATTACCTGTCTGCAGGGAAGGGGCTCTGTGGAGCTGGGGGCAGGAACCCAGAGCCCACAACTCTGTTGTCCTCTGCCACCTCATACTGATTTTCTCCCTCTGTTTTCCACAGCTGGGAGACCGAGGAGCTGCGCTGGGAGGACCCTGTCTGCAGGATGTTCTCTCCACCAAAGAACTCCCTGTGACCGGCGATGATGACAGTCCCGGCGGGACCTTGGGAAGCGCTAACATTTCAGTAGCCCAGCACCCGTGGACGGCCACTTTCCCCTCCTTCTCCAGACCCCGCCCTCCCACCGCTCACCGGGATGGTGTATTAACCAAGAGGAACCCTGCTTCTTTCCTCCTCACCCTTCCATTTTCGGCAGCTCTGGGATTTGTATGGCAGCAGCGTAACCGTGGAGAGGCCGGGGTATCACAAACTTATGGATTTTGATAAGAGAGGAGGGAAAGGGGAGCTGGAGGAAGGTAAAAGGATGTCCAAGACAGGTGGAGGAAGGAGTGGTCATGGAGGCCGGGGTGCTGGAACCAACTCGGGAGTCTTAATGGTGGGTCCCAACTTCCGTGTCGGCAAGAAGATTGGATGCGGCAATTTCGGGGAGCTCCGTCTAGGTGAGAAGGGTCATCTTCGTCCTCACTGTACTCACTCGTGCCAGGATTGCCCTGGCATCCTCCTCCTGCAGCGGGAGGAGCTGGCACAGGCTGTGGCCATGGGCACTGGGGTGCTGACCGGCCCCCCAGGGTTGAAGGGTTGCCCCTTGCCGGTAGCCCTTGTTCTGCCACAGAGGATCCGCTTCCTTAATCCTTTCACGCTGTGCTTGATCTACCAAGCCCCATCCCAGCCTGAAGGATTGCAGAGGTGTTTCCCATCTCCTCCCCATGCCTGTCGCTCTCTGGGTCTGTCAGGGAGAACCCTACAGTCTGGGTCTCTCTTTTGTAAGAGGTTATGGCCATGGAGATCTGGGTGTCCCCCAAATCCAGGAACGCTGGGTGAGGAAGGATTTGGGAGATGTCAGTGTGTGCTCACCAAATCTCACCCTGCTTGTGCTCTGGGTGCTGCCCTCCCACTGTGCCTTGGGACAGGGGATGGAGCATGGGGGCCTGAGGGATGTTCACTCTGCTGGGACAGACATCTAGGGAGGAGAATCCATGTTTTATCCTGGGTAAATTCTTCAGTTGTTGAAACTGGTTCTTTGCGAGATTCTCCTGAAATTTCTGTGCAGGACAAAGGGAGGAATAAAACCCAAGCATCTTCCATGGTCGCTTTCCATTTTGAACCGAATTTATCAGGAAACTCATCAAGCAAACTCCTGTTTGTAGGGTGGGGAGGTTGCTCCTCTCCCAGGACTGGGAATGTCCCTGGAGACTTCCAGCAAGCTGTTAACCCTTTGCCTGGCATCAGGCAGCTGGGAATGGTCTGGCAGGGCCAGGCACCTCTGTGCCAGCAGTCTGGATGTCTCCAGGAATGCACACTGGACGCATTGGGTGGAGTCTCTGCCAGCTGTAGTGCTGTCCTTGGCTGTGAGTGCTTTGGGAAGGGGCTTGTGCTCTGGAAGAGGGAGGAGAGGCAGTCCCCAGAGCCTGTGACAGTCACAGGCCGTGTTGCTCTGTGATATTTTAAGCAGCGCCTTCTCAGACCACGCTCTAAGCTAAACCTGCCCTGAGCTCTGAGCTAAACCTGCCCTGAGCTCTGAGCTAAACCTGCCCTGACCGTGGGCCCAGGGAGGAGCCGTGGCAGCCCTGGCTCGGGTGGGGTCAGCTCCCACCTCCCTGAGTGGGGAGTTAATGTCAGCTCTTCCCAGCGTGACAGACTGGCTGGTGCCAGGCTCACCCGTCCCGTCCCTGCACTTCCCGGCAGGATCGCTGTGTAATTGCAGACCTGGGGAAATGCTCTGGTTAAAATCCAACCAAGCAGTTCCTGTGTTCAGCTGTCACTCCCAGTGTCATGAAGAGCTCTGAGCCTTCCTCCGGACCCAGGGCTTGTGGAAGGAGAGGTACTGGGGGATTTTGCCACACCAGCTGCTCCTTTCAGTTCCCTGTGTGGATCTGGACACTCCTGCTGCCAGTGCCTCCCTGCTTGGTAGGGACAGAGAGCCCTGAGCTGAGCAGGGTCCACCTGTGTCCTTGCACCTCCTTTTCCTTGCTTGCCACTGAGCATTGCACAGTGGATCCGTGTTCCTGGATGAGCTGGATCCCAGGATCCTGCTCTAGGCAGGAGGCTGGGGCTGTGTTGCTTTGCTGTGCTCAGTGCTGAGGGTCAGTGTGACCCCCCTGCCTTGACCTCCCCCTCATTTCCCAGGGGCAGCAGCGAGGGGACACGAGTCTCACATGGATCTGAGGAATGTCTGTCAAACTGACAGTGAGGTTGCTGCAGGGACCTGGGAGCAGTTGGGCTCGGTTTGCTCGTGGCTGCAGGGACAAAGCAGTGAGCTCTCGCTCCAGGGCTCCACAGTGGTCGATTCTCACAGTGAGAGTTTGTCCTTGCCACCAGCAAGAGAAGCTTCCAGTCCTTTCACGTGGCTTTTTTGCTCTGTCAAAACCCTGCAGTGCCTGGCCATAACATGATACAGGCCTGAGCACGAGATCTCATCACAGCAGTGGAAGCCACAGCTATGTGGCTTCTCTCCTAAAATCACATCTCTCTTCCTTAGGTGTGTCTTCCAACTGCATCAGGGCTCAAGAATGCTTTCAGGATTTAGGGATTCCTCCAACTGCAAATGAATGGCAAGGGACCAGAGGGCTCTTGCTTTGAAGTGGTGGCATGAGCAGGGATGTTCTCCAGCTTTTGCTGGGCACTAATTTTTCCTCTGGAAATAGAGAATTCACTCCTCAAGGCTTTAGAGGCCAAACTGAAGCTCAGTATTTAAAAGCTACCAGATCTTCTTTGGCCTTTTTCCTCTCATAACAAAGTCCACGAGATCTTGAAAAAATGTACCTGGAGCTGACACCTCCAGCTCCCAGTGGTGGGGATGGAGGAAGGGGACATTATCTTCCTCAAAAAGGTACCACTTTGCCCTATTTCTCCACCACACTGAGGGGCACATGGTGATCTGTCCTTAGGGTGCTTCAGCTCAGCTGCCCCACGTAGATACAAATGTCCACCCATACAGGAGGTGTCCAAAACCAAGTGATCTGTTTAAAGATGATATATAAAATCAATTTACATAAGGCATTTGTGGAAAGCCAGAAGGGGAATGACGTAGGCAGGAGTTGTGGCTGCCAGGGCTGTGTGTTTGGATCCTGCATCTCCTTGTCCCTGCTGGCCTTGGCATCCTGGGCAATGGTGCCTGTCCCAGTCTGGCAGTGCTGCCAGCCAGCTCTGCACTGGAGCAGCATGACTGGAGAGCTGGGCTGGGAGCTGGAGCGGGGTGGCTGCCCCAGCCCTCTGGCACAGAGGGACAGGTTTAAGTTGTGCAGGTGCTGGGCCCTATTACCTTCTTATGTCCTGGAGCTTGACCCTGAGCTGGTGAGTGCTCATCCCTCCCCCTGCCAGCCTCCAGCTGTAGTTCAGCACCAGCCCAGCTCGTCCTGGGACTTTCCAACAGCATCCCAGGGCAATGTCTGCTGTCTGCAGCCCCCTGAGCTCCCCCTGCCCGTGTGCTGCCCATAGCCAGCCCCACTCAGTGCCTGGATGGGACACTGCCCCCTGAAACACAAGGCAGCAGGGCACTGGTGGCAGTGGGTGACCAGAGTGTGGCTGGTGGCTCGTGTGCCCTGGCACTGGGCACGGCCGAGCTGCAGCCCTGCCAGCTCCCTGCACCCCGGCAGTGGGGCCAGCACACTCACAGAGAGGGTTTGTTGGAGCAAGCTCCCCTTAGCAGCTACTCAGGAGTGCTTGGGATGGGCCAGGGGTAGGGGCAGAGGAGGAGAACCCAGACATTAGGCAGAAAGGTCAAAACTGAGCCCAAAGGACCTGGGTGCTGTGCAGGTCCTTCCTCAGAGCCAGGAACTGCCCTTAGTCCTGGCACACTCCCTGAGGGCCCGTCCTGAGCCTGGCCCAAGGCTGGTGCTGCTGCCAGGCTGTGCCATGGAGCTGCCCCAAGGCAGCCTCAGCCTAGAGCAGGGTGCAGAGAAGGATGGGGGGAGACCTGGAAGCAGCTGCTGCCTCTGTTCTTCCAGCAGTAAACTTCTGCAAATGTGCTTTTTGCAGCTTCTCGGTGCCCACCCCTCTCCCCCAGCCTGCTGCATGCATTACTGCTGGAGTCACAGCAGCTGTTTTCCTTCAAAATGAAAAGCTGGAATCTTTTAGTAATTATCTTTTAAAGTAAACTCGGGATTTGGGAGGGAAAAACACGGGGGGTGAGGCTGTGTGAGCCAGGAGCAGGTCACTGCCACAGCTGGGCCAGGGCCATGCCCCAGCTGAAGGGTCACATGCAGGTGCTGGGGACATTCCCAAGCTCTCCTGAGCTGTGGCTCTTGGGTCTGTCCTGCAGCCTCCCAGGAACTCACAGGGAGTTACTTGAGGCCACAAAAGGTACCTTCTGAAAATGTGGCTGCTTGTGACACCGTCTTGTCTTGGGCTCTGCAGAGACCTCCCTGTGAGCACCCGCAGTGTGGCCAGGGGCTCAGCCACCTCCCAGAGGTCGGAGCCACAGAGCCACCACAGGCCAGAGGTGGCACAACAAACGGGTGTCTTTGGAGGCTTTGGGAGAGAGGAACCCACACAATTCCTGCTGCTCCTGCCTCCCTTCTGAAGGCTCAGACTTGCTTTTCCTCCTGGTTGTTCAGAGCCTCCTTTAGAGAAGATCAAGCTCTAAAATAACATTTTTCTTCTGATGGTGTTTAACCCCAGCACTCCACAGAGCTGTTGTTGCTTGGCCTGTCTCTGGAGCTGCAGGGCTGGCAGGGCTGGGCCCGGCTGCCTTGCGTGGAGCTGCCTCATCCCCTGCTCCTCCACTGCATTCCCAGGTCTGGGAAGCCAAATTCCCATCCCGGTGCCCAGGCACAGCTCTGTGCTGCTGCTGCTGCTGCACGAAGGTTCCCAGCGTGGGCACAGTGCTGTGCCACAGGCAGGGGCAGCCTCACTGCTCTCTTCTCCCCTCACAGCGAGGGGCTGGAGCGTGTCCAGAGACAGCAACGGAGCTGGGAAGGGTCTGGAGCCCCAGGAGGAGCTGAGGGAGCTGGAAAGGGGCTCAGCCTGGAGCAAAGGAGGCTCAGGGGGCCCTTCTGGCTCTGCACAAGTCCCTGCCAGGAGGGGACAGCCGGGGGGGTCGGGCTGTGCTGCCAGGGAACAGGGACAGGAGGAGAGGGAACGGCCTCAGGCTGGGCCAGGGGAGGCTCAGGGTGGATATTGGGAGAAATTCCTTCAGGGGAAGGGTTGGGAAGCATTGGAACAGACTGCCCAGGGCAGGAGTGGAGTCACCACCCCTGGAAGTGTTCAAAAACGTGTGAATGTGGCACTTGAGGATATGGGCTAATGTGAACATGGTGGTGCTGCTCTTCAGTGATTGGAGTAGTGATCTGAAAGGTGTTTTCCCACCTTAATAATTCTGTGATTCCATGATTCCAAGCTGCTTGGATGGGGACCCAGCTGGGATCCCAGCACAGAGCCGGGCTGCCGTGACGTGCAGGAGCAGGTGCCGGTGCTGCTGCCAAATCCCTGGGGAGGGGACAGAGAAAGCCACGTCGGGCTTTAACACACCCCAGCCCCAGGCCTGGCTGCCTGCTCCTGCCTTTGGCCCCGTTCTGATCCCACACACCGCATCCTGCAGGTGCTGGCAGCTGCATCTGGAGGCACCTCTGGCACTGAGCCGGGCAGAGGCCCCTGCAATGCAAATATTTGCCTTCTGCCGCCCGTTTCACCACTTTTCTCTTTTATTTCCTTTCAAAAACACCTTTTGTGCTGCAAGTCCTGCCTGCTCTAGTCCTCCCAGGCACTCCCTGGACTCTCACTCATTTTGGGTGTCAAAATTTCCCCCTTGTGAGCACTGGGGAAGAGCAGGTTCCCCCAGGAGCTGGAGCGGGGAGTTCCTGGCGTGGAAGGAATCCTCCCTCCTTGCTCTTTTGCTTTTTCTTTTCTGTTGGTTTATTAATCTCATGACAGGCCAGTTCTGCTATTTGCACCTTTTTTTAATTTGGAAAGGGGAAGTGGAGGGTGGTGATTTGACCAGCCCATACTCTCTCTGCTCCCCACCTTGTCCATCAGCTGTGTCCAAGCGCCCTAAGGAACGGCTGAACCACGGAACTACCGAATGATTTGGACTCATTTTTGGGCTGGGAGAATGGTGCCAGCTCCAGAGTTGTTATTTTGTGTGCCAGGGAGCCACAGGCATCCTGTGTTGTGGGGACAGGACAGATGCCACTGCTGGGGATTCTCCTGCCTCCATCCCTTTTCCCTCCCAGCCCTGCTGGGGATGCTCCTGCCTCTGTCCCTGCTCACTCCCTGCTGGGCTGAGTCCCTTTTGCAGTGTCCCTCTGGCTGTTTTCCTGCCATGTTATATTTTTCCCCCTTCAGATCCTGCCTGACCTCAGGGAAAATCCAGCTGTGAGTTTCCTGATCGCATGTTGCTGCCCTGAAGGCAGCAGTAATTGTTTTGGACTGAACTGTACTGCCCTGTGGAGCCATGCACAGCTCTGGGGGCATCCCACCTGCTCCCCAGGAAATGTCCGTGCATGATGGGACAAACCCCTTGATCTGGCACACACTGTGTTCACCAGACCTTCCTCCCTCCCTCCCAAATCCCCTCCTCCCTAATCGCTGTGAAGGGATTTGCTTTATGCAGAGGCAGCAGACAAAGTGGTTTGGCAGAGGTCCCCTGGGATGGGAGAGGGTCAGGGAGGCAGCAGGACTGAGCCCCTCCTTGGCTGCAGAGCCCATCCCTGGGAGGAGCTGCTCCATTAATATCTCCCATTCATCCCTCTTCCCGTAATCCTGCCGCCGACTGTGGCGCTCAGCAGCTGGCTCTGATGTCACCCGGCCAGGATTTATTGCTGCTTCAGGTGGAGAGCAGCAGTCAGAGCAGATGAAATCTTACGCCAGGAGGAGCTTGTTCCCTAAGCAAATTGCTTGGAGAAAATCCGAGGAGACAGATGCAGCTCCATCAGATACGCACATGCCAGGCAGCGGGATCGCTGGGATCGGGAGTCTGCTGCCTCTGGAGGGAACCTGCTGCCCTTAACCCTCACCTGCCTGGGCTCCCGCAGGCTCTGGCACAGGGAACGCTCAGAGCTGTTCCTGCAGACCTTTAATCTTTGCCTTTATGGGACTGGGCAGAGGTTGTGCTGATGCTTCCCATGTGTGTTCCCTTTTCCTCCTGGTTTTGGGGGGATGTGGAGGCACCCTGAGCTCAACCTTGCTGTGGTTATGGTGTGAAGTCCCGTGCAGGTGTGGAGCCCTCCGGGGATCCTGTTCAGCGTGCTGGCTGCCACGGCTGCTCCTTCACTCCCCTGGGCTCCTCGTACAGTCTGGGCCGTGCCATGGATCTGCTCCTAGCTTCCCCTGTGCCCTTGGGCAGGCAGGAGCATCTCCAGGGGTGATGTTGATTCACACACAACACAAGCACAAGTATGTGCCATTCCCAAGAGTGACCCCGGCCGTGGGGGAGAGATTTCCACCTGCCTGTGGTGCCCTCAGACCACTGCTGGTCGCCCCAGTGCTCCCGGGTGTCCTTCCCCCCTGCCACCCTCTGCAGGGTCCCACTGGCCATAACTCAATGTCCCCTGACTCTGGCCATCCCTCCATAGCCCCCTCTCCCTGTGGGGCTGGGAGAGGCACTCAGTCTCAGCCGCATCCCTGCCTTGCCCAGTCACGTCCCTGCTGCTGCCCCCTCCCATCAGCCTTGGCTCCAGCCCCCAGGAGCCTCCCCGTCCCAGAGGAATCCACATACCCCACCTGGGGATAATTAGCAGGCATGTTGCAACTCCCCACAATGGGTTTTGGTCCCACTTGTGCCTTGAGGCTCCTTCAGGTGTTGTGGGAGCGGCAGAACCTGTTCAGGATGTTTTTGAGCCCAGGAGCCCTCAGGGACAGCGGGGGTGTGTGGTGGGGATGATGCAGGGACTGCTTTTCATCACCTTTTTGTGTCTCTCCCTGCAGGGAAGAATCTCTACACAAATGAATACGTAGCTATCAAATTGGTGAGTAGCTGTCAAACTGGAGACTTCCTCTATGGTTGGGGTGGGGGATGTTCCAGGCATTGGGAAGGAGGTTTCTCCCCCTCCCCAAGTGTTGGGGCAGGTGGAATGGTTTGGGATGAGATGGCTGGGTGGCTGCAGGGAGCTCCGTTCCCGCTCAGAATTGAGGGCAGTCTGGGAACACACGTCACTGCAGGTGGGGTGATCCAGGTCTGGGCAGGGAAGAGCTGAATCTTTGTTCTCCCAGCCCTTTCCATGGTCTGTGCTATGCTCAGCCAGTGCCAGCAGCAGAGAGGGTGACCCCACTGGTACCTGATCCCATTAATGTTTTCCCCTCTCAGGATGAGATGATCTGGCTCCCATATGGGCTGATTTTCTCTCATCATCCCCTGAGGCTTCATCTCCATTTTATATCAATTGCTCCCAACCCCAAATGCTCTCAGTCCAGCTGCTGCCAGCATGTGAAGGAGGTGTTTGACACCCAGACCCCCTGAACATCCTGCTTCCTACTTAACTGTTCTCCTTTCTCTCCTCCAAGGAACCCATAAAATCTCGGGCCCCCCAGCTGCACCTGGAGTATCGGTTCTACAAACAGCTCGGCAATGCAGGTACGGGGCTGGGCTGAGCTGCCCTGGGGAGCTGCCTGCCAGGGGCACTGCTGGGAGAGAGGCTTTCCCTAAATGTGACTCTGCAACTTCACTCCCAGCTTGAGCTCCTGCCCATCTGCTCCGCAGGGAGAGGCTGGTTTTACACAGACGCCTCATCTCATCTTTGATCTCTTTTGATTTAGTTCTTTCCTCCCGCCGCCCCCGCAGCAGAGTCAGGGATGCAGATGGAGCTGCCTCCTTCCCCCTGCTGCCAAGAGCAGGCTGTGCAGGGAGGGCAGTGCAGGGACATCCCTCTGCAGCCCCTGTCCCTGACAGGCAGTGGCGTGGCCCTGCTGCAGCCCTGCACAGCCCCTGCCCCATCTCTTGCAGAAGGAATTCCTCAGGTTTATTACTTTGGCCCCTGTGGGAAGTACAACGCCATGGTGTTGGAGCTGCTCGGACCCAGCCTGGAAGATCTCTTTGATCTGTGTGATCGGACCTTCACGCTCAAGACTGTCCTGATGATTGCGATCCAGCTGGTGAGTGCAGCCCCTCCACCTCCCCTGCACCCTGCACCCTGCACCCTGCCCAGGGAGCAGGGGATGTGTGGGCACCGTGGGCAGGCAGCATGGGCATCCCGCGGGGAATGGGGAGAGGATGCTGGCACGTCCCAGCCTGGTTCCATACCTCACTCTCTCCCTGCTGAGGGAGGGCTCTCCAGCCCTTCACAGCCCCTCTCGGAGCCCAGACAAGCATCTCACTCTGTTCCCAGAGCGTCTCACTGTGTGCCCAAGGTGCAGCTGGCTGGGGCTGCATCCCGTGGTGGGAAGGAGCAGATGTGCCCGTCCTTGGGGCTGGGGCCAAGCTGAGGGGAGCAGGGCCCAGGGCAGGAGTGTGCAGGGGTGGGTCTCTGCCCTGGCACTGACATCTCCTTCTGCCCCAGATCACACGGATGGAGTACGTCCACACCAAAAGCCTGATCTACAGAGATGTCAAGCCAGAGAACTTCCTGGTGGGGCGGCCGGGCAGCAAGCGGCAGCACACCATCCACATCATTGATTTTGGCCTGGCCAAAGAGTATATTGATCCCGAGACCAAAAAACACATCCCCTACCGAGAGCACAAGAGCCTGACAGGGACAGCGCGCTACATGAGCATCAACACCCACCTGGGGAAAGGTGTGTGGGCACAGGCAGCCAGCCCTGACTCCTGCCTGAAGGCAGGGACTGCAGGGCAGGGGTGCCAGAGGTGGGGCTGGGGACAAGCTGCCTCTCCTGCTCTTCAGGGTGCTGGCAGGACACATGGGGTGCTGCAGGATTTGGGGTGGAGACAGGGACAGTGGCTTTAGTGGGAACTGACCCATGTCTCTTTTTCTCTGTACAGAACAAAGCCGCAGGGATGACCTGGAAGCATTAGGGCACATGTTTATGTACTTCCTCCGTGGGAGCCTTCCTTGGCAAGGCCTCAAGGTAACTGCTAGCTCCTGCTGCTCCTGTGGGTCTGGCTCTGCCCTGGCATGGGGAAGGGAGAAGGCCCTTGGGATGTTGGAGGATTGGCATCCCACCAGCTCTGAGCTCCATGCCAGGCTCTTGCAGTGCTGAGCAGCTGCAGGTCTCCCTGTGTCCCCCCAGCTGCTCTCACAGCAGCTGTCCTGGAAACCCTGGGGTTTGTCCTCCAGACCTGCCCAGGGAGGGAGTTTCCTGGGAAGGAGTTACCTGGGAAAGGGGGCCCAAGAAATCATACATGGTGAGACAGCAGCCAGTGCCTTCCCCTGCCTGGGGCAGTGCCTTGTGCTGACCCCTCTTGTCCTTGCCAGGCCGACACACTAAAGGAGAGGTACCAGAAGATTGGTGACACCAAAAGAGCCACCCCAGTGGAGGTGCTCTGTGAGAACTTCCCAGGTGAGAGCAGTGCCCAGCCCAGCCCCCAGCCCTGAGCCCCCTGTCCCCTGTCCCCCTGAGCCCCAGTGTCCCCACAGAGGAGATGGCCACGTACCTGCGCTACGTGCGGCGGCTGGATTTCTTCGAGAAGCCCGACTACGACTACCTGAGGAAGCTCTTCACAGACTTGTTTGAGAGGAACGGTTACGTGTTCGACTACGAATATGACTGGGCAGGGAAACCTCTGGTGAGTGCTGAGGGCCTGGGGGCAGAGGGTGAGGCACCCCAGGGAGCAGGGGCAGCGGGGTTGGTGGCAGCAGCCAGGGAGGATGTGGCTCTCAGCCATCCCTGCCCCACACTGTGTCCAGGGGATCAGCTCCACCCTCCTCACCAGTCACCAGCTCCGGGGCTGTGACACAGGAATTTGAGGTTCCCGGAGCCAAGGGGACCCCAGCAGCCAAGCTGGCACCTCACTTTCTGCTATGGGTGCATTCCTTGGGCTTGCTGCCGCCAGATACCAAGCATGGCACTGCTGGGGCAGGAGCAGTGATCAGGCCCCGGTTCTGGAGGGTTTTGCATGTTTGGCCAGAGGTTGGATCTGGCTCTGGGGTGTTGGGAGGGTTCTGTGCTGCACTGACATTGTCCTTTGTGTCCCCAGCCCACCCCCATTGGCACGATGCACAGCGAGGTGCAGGTGCAGCCCCCGAACAGAGACAAAGCACAGCCACACACCAAACACCAGGTGAGCAACAGCCCAGCCTGGCTGGGGCACAGGGCCATGGGCATGGGCAGCTCGGGCTCCAGCTCCAGGGACATGGAGCACAGCTGGGATGGTGGCAGGGACTCGAGCATCATTTTCCCTCAGTGCAGTTCCCTCCCACAGCTCTGGGTCTGTGGCTCACCAGGGACCCAGGGCAATGTCCCTGTGGCCTGGCAGAAGAGGGAGGAAGTACTGTGGGGGCTTGACTGGGCAGTTCCAGGCCTGGACATCAGCTGCTGAGGGGCAGGGTCCAGCCTGGGGTGTGGGAGAGGGCTTGGTGCAGGCTGAGCCACCTCTGCTAAGGACAGTGTCCCCATGGGGTGACTCGCTGCTCTGCTTGTGATGCCCTTCCATGGATGGAACAGTGACGTGGGACAAGGGAGGGCAGGATTGGTGGGGCAGCTTGGCAGCATTTTTCCCATGCTGGGGCTGCCTTTGTTTTGGGAATGGGCAGAGCACAGGGAGCCAAGCCTGGGGCAGAGATCAGGCAGAGTTGTGTGGGAAAAGCTGCTCAGAACTGCTCCAGTGCTGTGGCCTCTCCTGCCCTGGTGCAGGACACGTGTTTCTGCCACCAAGAACAAACTTCATGTGTTTCCCAGCAGTCCTGTACAAACCCTTGTCCCCCCAAACCTCCTTGGGGGCAGAGCACCTGCAAAGGGGCTGGAGCTGGGAGTGCAGCACTGTTCTCCCCAGACTGCTCCTGCCCAGTGCAGGGAGCCTGGCACTGCCCTGGCTCTCACTACCAGCGCTTCCTTAGGGAGAGGGAAACATCTTCAAATCACCTCTGGCTCATTTCTGGGAACTCGCTCCCAGTAAGGTCTGCTCTCTGTCCCCAGCACCAGGGAAAGGCCTTGTTTGACATCCTTTCTCCAGAGCCGGGGGAAAAGCAAAGCACAGAGCTCCCGGAGCACGGGAGCAGTGTCCAGCCTGGGGACACAGGTGTCCTCGCAGCTGTGGAGCTGTGCTGTGCTCCCCGAGGGAGGGTTTGGCTGTGGGACAGCCGAGCCCTGGAGGAGCAGCCCAGCTCGTGCCACACAGGCCCCGCCAAGCTCTGCGTCGTCCTGGGGAAACGGCTTCACCCGGGCCTGGCTGCAGCTCCGGCTCTGCTGCTCCAGCCCGCTCCCAAACACGGCCCCCAGCCCTGCTGGAGCTGGCCCTGCTCCATGGGGTGGCCCTGTGTGGGGCTGGCTGTGGGGATGTGTGTGTAGGTGGCAGGGGGACACAGACCCCCGTAGTCACCACAGGGACCGCTCTGGGAGCTGCCAGGACGGTGCTGCACGGGTGCCCTCTGCAATCACCAACTCGAGCTGCTCCGGTCATGTTTTTGCTTTTGCATGTCTTATTTTCTCGACTCCCTTTGCCACTTTCCCGCCCCCTCCCTCCACTTCTCCCTTCTCTTCCCCATTCTCCCTCTTTTCTTTTGTTTCTTTTCGTTCTGTTCCTCCTGCCTGTCGCGAGCAGCCGCCCGAGGGGACGGAGTTGTGGGATCCTCAGGCCGGTGGGCAGCCTGCCGAGGAGCCTTTGGGAGCTCACCTGGCAGCCGGCAGGCTCGGGGGGTCCGTCCAGGTACATGAAACCACTGGGGCAGGGGCGGGCACGGGTGGGAGCGGAGCCACCCTGGGCCTCGTGGCCGCCCGCGGAGCCGGGATCAGCCCCGCTCCCCCGCCCCGGGGCCACACATCCCGGGGTCCTGCCCGGCTGCAGCACGTGCTGCCTGTCCCTGTGGTGTGATGGGATGCTCATGCAGACGAGGCTGGTGCTGCTTCCTGGGGACTGCTGGGCTCTCTTGGTGCTGCCAGGGGGAATTAGAGGGCAGTTGGAGATGGATGGATGGATGGATGATGGATGGATGGATGGATGGCACACTGCAGCATGGCAGCTGGGTGGGCATCACTCTGCCCCTGATGCCAATCATCTGAGCAGGGATTTTCCTGCACCTCCTTGACTGGAGCCCTGACTCCAAGCCCTGCTTCTCCCTTCCCGGGCACTCCTTGGCCATGGTCCTGTGCTGGCACCGTCAGCCCCGTGCTCGCCACCTCCCGCCTGCTGCCGCTCAGCCCTGCCTTGGCCTGGGGGTTCCTCCCACATGGATGATGGAACATCCATGCTGGGTCTCCCGGCTGGGCCTGCGCTGCTTCCTCCGTCTCTGCTTCTGACCCCGCCGCTCTTGCTCGTTCCTGCTGCTCCACAGTGACTCTGCTGGTGCTTGGCCCCAGGCTTGGGCACAGCTCCCGCTGTTGCCATCACGGGGCCGGGCACTCCGTGGTGCCAGGCAGGCCGTGGGGCCGGGTATTCTGAGGGCCCAGCTCATGCTCTGCCTCCCTCCTGTCCCTCATCCCCTTCCTCCTCCCCACTGCTGCTCCGCGATCCCTCCTGCCGTGCTCCGCCTGCGCCCGGCACTGCGGGGATGATGTGCAGGGGTCTCTGTGCTGGTGTCAGGGGCTGGAGCCTGACGTGGCCCTGCTGGCTGGGCACTGCCTGTCGGGCAGCAGCTCCTCCGAGGGGCTGGGAAAGGCTGAGGCTCCTTGCCGGGGCCGAGCAGCTTGGAGTGTTTGACCTGTGCATCCCCAGGGAGCTCCTGGCTTTGCCTGCAGGCAGCAGGCACAGGATGGTGGTTCAGGCACCTCCCTGTTGCCGTGGTGGCTTGGGTGTCCTCCTGGCCCTGGCACTGTGACTGGCCCTGCTGCCTGGTGAGCAGACAGGAGCTCAGGGATGCCTGAGCCTGCAGGGTGGGCACTGGGCTGAGTCTTGGTGCTGGGAAGCTGAAGTTGTGTCCAGATGCTCAGCTGTGGGAAGGGCTCCTTGGAGCTGTCAGCTTTCCCAGGCCCTGTGTCCTGCCCATGCTGGAGCTGGTTGCCAGCAAGCCCCTCTGGTGGTGCAGGGGTGCCCAGGAGCTGGGATCCTTCCAGGGCCATTCTAAGGGGCTCAGACCTCTCTGTGCAATGGGGCTCTTGGGGAGAGCTCGGTACTGAGGTCGAGCACCGTGGTCTGAACGAGGGCACCATCCTGCCACCAAGGTCACCTCGGTGCTCCAGGCAGAGCTGGGTGGTCTCCTGGGTGGCTCCTGTGCCCCACGGGGAGGGGAAGGGCTGCAGACCCCCAGGCTGCCCCTGCTGACACTCATCTCTCCCCAGGTGATGAGCTCCACCAACGGAGAGCTGAACACAGATGACCCGACGGCAGGACATTCAAACGCCCCCATCACAGCCCCCACCGAGGTGGAGGTGACAGACGATACAAAGTAAGGCCCCAGCCCCGCTGCTCCTCGCCACTGCTGGGCTGGAGGAGGGGTCGGCAGCTGCCCTGGGATGGGTCCAGTGCCCTCTGGGAGAGCAACAGCCCAACAACCCCCCTGGCACCCTGTGAGAGGTGTCCCTGCAGGGCCACCACCACCCAGCCCTTCTCACCTCGCCCTGCCCAAGGCTCCTGCACAGAGGGGCGTGGATGGATCTGGGGCTGCTTCTCTGGGGTCCCTGCCTGGCCCTGGCTCTGGTCACGTAGCCAGCCTTGTGTGCCATGGCCAGTGTCACTCCCCTGGTCAGTGCCATTTGCTGTGGCAGGTGTCACTTTTGGTGGCCATTGGGGTGCTCCCAGTCCAGCCCCTGCCACGTACCAGGGGCACTTGGTGGAGCAGCTTTGCCCACGTGGGGCTCACCAAGGCACCGAGGGGTTTCTGTCCTCCCTGACCCCAGGGCTGCTGCACCCTCCGTGCCGTGGCCCCGGTGCTGATGGGTCCCCTCTGTCCCCAGGTGCTGCTGTTTCTTCAAGAGAAGGAAGAGGAAAACCACCAAGCGTCGCAAGTGAGCTGCCAGGGCCGGGCGGAGCGGCGAGCGATGGCTCCTCTCCCTCTGGCCGTGGCTGGATCTTGACCCACGGAGCCCCTGGGGCTGGACGGGGACGGGGGGGCCGGGCCGGACGGGCTCCCCCAGCGCCCCACACGCAGCTGGGGAGCGGGGCCTCCCCAAACTGCTTGTCCTTTCCTCCGCCACTCGTGGCCGTTTACTCGAACCAAGCCCAACTTCGCTGAAGTTCCTGCGTCCGTCAAACAGAAAAAAGAAAGAGAAAAACCCACGGCGTCACTTGCTTTGAGTTTATAACAAGTCTGAAATGGGGATCAACTACAGACTCTGACCCGTCGCTGTCAGAAGAAGACGAAGACAATTTCGAGAGCAGTGGGCTAAGGAGGAATATTTTTTTTTTCTGTTGCTTCTTTGTCTCTTAAGTTAATTTAAAGTGAGTCTCGGTGCAGAGTGCTGAGTCGTCAGTCTTTGACCGTCATCTTCAGTGTTACCGAATTCTGCTCTGCCTCCCGGCCCCGCGTCCCCGCCGGGTCCCCTCGGTCAGGCCGGTGGTGACGGGGAGAGCCGGGGGCGCGCGGGGCGGGGAGAGGAAACGCGTTTACAGTTCATTTACGATGCACTTTTGCGAGCAATACAGGCGCCGTCCGGTCCCGCCGAGAGCAGGTCCGAGACTCCCAGGGGCTGGGGGACACAGGGACAGGGACGGCCGAGACCAAAGGGACCCATGAATGGTGGTGGCAAAGCAGGGAGGGGAAGCAAAGCAGCCTCGTCTCTGGTGCTGCCATGTCTTGGGGCTGGATGTTTCCACAACAGCTGTAGGTGTGGGCAGGGCTTGATCGGCCTCGGTTTTACAGCCTGAGCCCCCCCGCGGCTGCTCCCGGGGGGCCGGGCCGGGTGGGGAAGGGGGCCGGGGTGGAATCCCCCAGCATGGCATCCCCCCACGGTGGGATCCTCCCGGCCTGCTCCTGGGGCCGGGGGAAATGGAGGTTTTGGAAGTGACACACAGACACCCCCCGCACCCCCGTGTTCCTCGCCACCCCCGGGGCACTGCAGCTCCCCACGTGAGTGACCCCGTGCGCTGTCGTGTGTATTGATCGTGACACATTGGGGGGGGACACACACTTACCTTTACCAAAACCCTGTTGTTGTGCCCCAAGAGAAGGGGCTGAGGCTGTGCTGGGGGGGCGGGGGAGGGATGGGACCATCTGTGGCTGCTTTGAAACATTTGTCCAAACTGACCATCTCTGGGGGGGGCTGGAGACCTCGGATTGTGGAGGGGCTGGGGGGGCGGGGGGTGTCCCCTGGGGCCTCCCCAGGGCCCCTCTTGGTCCTGAACTCGGGACTGACCCCGGCTTTGGCTTGTCCGGGCTGCGGCAGCCAGGGCAGCCCCAGCTGCTGCTGCGTCCCTGGCCACAGCGGGAAGGGGACGTGCAACGTTTGACCTCGTGTCCCCAGCGAGGCGAACAAACGAATTTTAAAAATCGCCTTAAAATTTTCACTGGAAGTGGTCCCTTGTCAGCGCGTGGGCTCAGAGCAGCCCCGGCGGAGGCCGAAGAGGAGCCGCGGAGGGGAAGGGAAAGCGGCCACGAGGGTGTGCCCGGAGCGCCCGGCTCTGCCCGCACACCCTCGGCCGCCGGGGCCGGGGCCCGAGCCCGGGACTCTCTGTCCTTCCAGCGAGGAGTCCAAATACTGCGATTGTACGTGAGAGCGTTTGTTCCATTGCGAGTTTAGTTACTGCTTTAAAACCAAGTGTACAGAAATGGCATTTCAATTTCTCTGATGCTTCCTGGAAGCCATAGAATTTAGGGGCTTTTTTTTTTTTAATAAAACAAAAAAATAAAATAAAAAAAAAAAATCTTTAAAATCCAACACATTCTTCTGTGCTTCACTGTGTGATCAGAAGGGTGAGGACATTGCCCAAGCGCCCCTTTTTTGTTGGAAACTCCCTCAGCAGTGGGTGGGAGCAGCCCCAGCCCCTAGCAGGGGCTCCCTGCCCAGGAGCCTTTCCTGGAGCAGCAAGAGGAAAATCTCGGGAGGAGAGGTCGGGGGAACAGCAGCAAAGCTGATTCAGGCTCTGGGCAGCCCTCCCCAGGCTCCCGCCGGCTGCTCCTGTAAAGCCCGAGTGAGGAAGGTGATGCAGGAGGGCAATTCCCAACTGAGTGCTCTGCAGGGGCCGGGGTTGGAATGAGGGTCCAGCCTGGGACCACAGCCCAGAGCCGGGTCTAGGAGCTGGGGGAGCCCTTGGCATCGTGCCTGAAGAGGAGGAGGAGGAGGAAGGGCAGGACAATGTGCTGAGCCCAGCATGAGGCAGCTGAGGCCCCGTGTGCCTCGGTGGGCTCAGTGTGGGCAGGGTGAGAGCAGACGGGCCAGGCTGGGCTGGGCTCCCCCTGCTCCTGGAGCTGCCCCTGGCCCAGGGGCTCACATTCACCACAGCCCCACTGCTCCCTCAGGGAAAAGTGACAGTGGGAGCTGTGCTGGGCACACGTGCTGCTCTGGGCAGAGCCCAACCTCATCCCTGCTCCAGCTGCCCCCACAGCCCCTCCATGCTGGGAATCACAGGCCAGAGGATCTGCCTTCCCCTCCCCACATCTGGAGTGGCCCCAGCAAAGGCTGAGGCAGCTTTCCGTGCATTTGTCAAAAACCTCCAGTTCAAGATATCAGTGACATCACCCAGACCAGAGTATGCTGCCCTCATTACCACCACCTCATACCCTGAGGGTCTGAACTCCCCAGCAGTGATTGCTGGGCTTCAGGATTCCTGAAGATCTGGCTCATCCCCGTCCCTGGATGGGAAGCTGAGGACCCCACACCCTCGGCTGGGGGAGATGGGCCAGGAGCCGGCTTGGCCCAGATTTCCCTTCCACCATCCCATCATTTTCCTCTAATCACAAAGAAACTTCATAAAGACAACCTCCATGTCTTTATTGTTTTCCTATTTACAAATCACAAAGCTGGCCAAAAAGCAGAGTGTGAACACGGGACGAGAGCATCGGATACATTCATCAAATAGCACAGGAGCCGGGCCGGGCCCGCTCTGCTCGGAAGGTGACGTGGTACAACAGAATGGCTCATACTTCTGGGAACAGGCATGTCCAACAAGGAATTACATTCATCTATCTACAAAAGCCAGAATTGCATCAAACTGCGGAAAAGCCGTAAGAACAGAAGTTGCTCAGGTGTAGTTCAGAGTTTGACTCCTCTCCCTCTGTGACAGGACAATCTGCCAGATCTGCCCCACGCAGGGGGAGCAGGAAGGTGGGATTTGGGAAGAGAATTCACGTAACAAAATAATAATGAGAACAGAACTTCCAGGGAACAGCCAGTGGGAGGCTCCCACTGCAGCTAGGCAGGGCCAGCCCGAGCCCTGCTCTTCCCAGAGCCAAGTGCACAGCTCTGCTTCTCTCAAATTCCAATTATTCCGCTATTTCCACCTGTACCCGACACCCCGAGGTGCAGAACCCAGATCAGACCCCCCCGGGGAAGGTGGGTCCAGCAATGACGTTCCCACCGCCTTTGGAAGAGGGGTGGTGCCAGGAGTGGGCACAGTCACAGACATCCCAACAGACACAGAGCCTGGGCTGTGAATCCATCTCACTGTTTGCATTGCACAGAGTCAGCTTCGGTCTCCAGGTCCATGGACCCAGGGTTGGGGTTTTTTCTATTTTTTTAGTACTGGCCGTTTTAAAACCATCCCACCTGGAAGCAGGCTGACAACACACAGCTCACACCATCTCCCTGAAGCATGGAGCACACCCTGGCCATCTCTAACAGCTTCTGCTGAGTAGGTGCAGGGCACTCCCAGGCTGCTGCTGCACGGTTGAGGAGGAGACTCCAGCCAGCACAGCCCCAGGATCCCGGCTGGAGCAGCAGGAGGAGAAGAAGCAGTCATGTTCTAGCCAAGGACAGCCAGGTTTTGACTTCCAGCAGTGAAATCCAGTGGCAGCAGCTGCCCAGAGTGGCAAAGGCTCCATGTGCTGGACCAGAAGTTGGAGAAGGGGCCTTGAGGCAGCACCACTCCAGCCAGTCCCACGCAGACTCCGGCGGCTCCGATCTTTCTGCCAGGCTGAGCTTAATTCCAGCTTCCTCTGCAGAGGAGGGGAGGAAGAGTCTCGTGGTCTTCACTCGTGGGCAGTGAGGGTGGGGCGGGTCAGGCAGCCCAGGACCAGCCACCGTCTCTGTGACAGCCATGGGGAAAAGCAGCTGGCCCTGAACGGGTACAAGGGGTATCTTCAAGGTCACTGAGCTCCACAGCTCAACAGGTGATGTTTGTGATCTCCCTCCTGTGCCTGGCCAACAGGCAGTGTGCAAACACACACCAGCACGGAGAACATTCCACGTTTTCCTGAACCGTTTGGTAAATTCTTGTCCATCTGCTGCATTATAGGTAACAGGCAGGTGCACATCCAGCCTCTCTTCCTGCTTCCATCAGCAATGCACAGGAACAGAGGGAAATGCGCACGGAAACTGGGAATGCCTGGGAAGAGGTGAGGCAGGTGCCCTTGCACTTCAACTGAGAAACCCTCGTACTGTGCAAAGGTTGATGACCAGTAATGACCAGGAACAACAGAGCTGGGGCTGCTCAGGGGTGAGCTGAGCACCCCCCTGCGCCTGGGACGTGCCAGGGATTTGGAAGCAGCACCACGGGGACTCAGAATGCAGGAGGGCCGGGCTGCTGCCCCTCACCGCTCTGCAGGGAGGTCACCTCGCTGCCACCAACTGCCCGAGGTGAGGATTGTCACAGATCCGTGAGAACAGCAGGAAACGCCGCAGTCCCTCCGGACGAGCTCGGATTTGAGGTCTCCAAGCCTGTGTAGTGCTGGAACAGCAAAGCCTCAGGGAAAAGGCCACTTTCCATGACTTTTGAAGGCGGCTCTGTGTGCTGAGGCTGCTGGGAGGGAGGGAGGGAAGGTGCTGGGCACGGACTGGCCAAGCCCTGCAGTCTGGCCTGGCAGGGGCCACCCAACCCTGACCGAGTCTGTCTGCAGGACCATCTCCTCATGGCAAGTGAAACCACAACCAGAGCCACTCGTTGCCTCACTTCTGACCGGTGGAAAAGCATCTACATTCATTACAGTCCAAAAAACACACGTTGTTAGATAGGGTTAATCAGGAGGTGAAAAACAACAAGCCACAGACAACCTACGAATGGTACTGGGACACCAGCTGGCCTGCACTGGGACACCAGCTCGCCTGGCACCTGAGAGCAGCAGCAGCACTAGCACAAGGCAGGACACGAGCTCTGAAATGGTTTCACTGAGACCTTTGGCTAGTGTGGCTCCAATTGGTGTGGTCAAACTCAGCCAGAGATTTAGTTTGGGAGGTGATGGGGAAGAGTCGAGTCCAGGGCGGGCTGGGCAGTGGCACTATGTGTAGAAGATGATCTCTGGGATTTGCCCATCCTCCACGGAGGTGCCGTTGTTGTTCCCAGCCGCGTAACAGAACGTAAAGCAGGTTTTGGCTCCCGTTGTTGGTGATTCATGGATCACTTTGCGCAGTCCTTTGGTTCCATAGTGGGAATCTGGACCCTGCAGGGGTCACGGAAGACAAGAACAGGTCAGGACCCTGCTGCTGCCCAGGCTCTCTGGTGGGTTTGGAGCTGTGGAGATCTCAGTTCCTCCCTTTTCCTCCTGGATTTGTACCTTGGCTATTCTGAGCTCAATCTCATCTCTATCAGAACTTACCATTAATTTACCCAAGTCCCAACAGCTAAACATGAACTTTTTGAGGCTGCTGCAGCAGGCTCTAGATTACACACCTGCAGGACTGACAGCTCAGCTGTACACACCAAAAAAATCACCCCATGCCCTCCTCAGTGAAACAACCCTGTTCAGTGCTGTGAGACAAGTCAAAAACCAGCTCTGAATGCTGATGGTGAACGAGCTCATGGCAGCAGCAGGTCACAGAGAGACCTTGGAGATTGCACCACTGGCCTAGAAGGACACAGAGCAAAGCCCAGGTTGCACTGAAGACCTAAAGGAGATGCCCTCACCTGCCTGCACCTCACCCCACCCCATGTGGTACCTTTAGAGTAGCACAGGCTGTGTAGTTGACGTTGGGTAAAATCTCAACGGGCTCCTTGAACATGACCCGGAAGGTGTTGGATGATCCGTCACAGCTGAAGCCGGTGTCGTTCTGCCCCAGGACTGTGTTGCTGTCCGTGTGGATGATCTGCAACACAGGTTTCACCTTTCATCTGCAGGGCTGGACACTGCCTGCCCTGCCCATGGCAGCGTCCCTGAGCTGGGCTGAGCCCCAGGCACTCCCAGGTTGACCAGCCCTGTGATGACTGCACTGTCCATTACTTGTGTCCCTCATCAGTGCTATGGCCACAGAACCACAGAATCCCACATTTGGGTTGGAAGGGACCTTAAGGATCATCCATTCCAACCACCCCTTCCAGGGACAGGGATTCCACACACTATTCCAGGTTGCTCCAAGCCGCATCCTGGACTTGAACTTCTAGGGGTGGGGCAGCCACAGCTGCTCTGGGCCCCTCTGTGCTCACCACAGAGCTGTGGGCTCAGGTCCCAGACAGCCCAGGCCACCCCCTCCTCACCCCCAGGCTGTCAGAGCCCTGCAAGCCCACACTGTGCTTAGACCCTTCTCCCCCAAGAGCTCAGGGCAGCAGGAGGAGCCCTGACAATCAAGGAAGAAATGCTGACAGCCTGTGCTCATCACACCTGCCCTGTGTGCTGGAGTAACTCTCCTGGGGACAGTGACCCACACTGGGGTGGCACAGCTGCACCCACAACAGGCACACAGCATCCACGGGATCCACCTGACTTTGGATGAGACCCTGATGGACTTGAGACAGCTGAGTCTCCCCCAGCCTGCTCAGGGTGGGAAATCATGAACAGCTGCTTCCCAAACTACCCCAAAGCTGGGTGCAGACCTGTGGAGACGCTGCAGTGACGTGTGCAATAAAATCAAGAGCAATAATCCTTCTGATCCCCAGTGTCCCATCTGGCCCTTGCTACATCTGCCAGCACCCCTGCCCAGGGACACACACAGTCCCTCTGAACCTCAGGTTTTGTTACAAATTCACTAAAATTTGTTTGTCAACCCGTAAAACAGCCAGGATTTTTAAGGTAGCAGAGAGAATTACCTGTATATTTACTTGGTAATCCGTTGGCCCGTGTATGGATCCGTATAATCCAAACCCAACTACAAATATCCTTTTGTTTACTGAGAACCTGCAGGAACAGAGCAGGAAAGTCAGTCCAAACTTGCCACTCCTGTACTGCTCCAGTACAAAGGTGATACACAGGTATCTCTACTTGTGCTGATTTTACATCTATGATTTAATCAAACCTACACAGATTTAAGTGCAGCCCTTACTAAGAGGTGAAACCTTGCACAGGAACCATCAGCTGCACACTCACACCTCTGACTGGCCCAGTGGGCTTGTGTGAAACACAAAGCTGCACAATCCCATCACCAAATTTCAGGGTCCAGGCCCAGGCAGTGTTTCCAAGTTGTGGCAAAACATCAGCATGCCCAAACACCCACCAGGCCCTGGCAGGGCAGCCTGGGAGTGTGGAATGGTGCCCACAGTGCTCTGTCCAGCAAACACCACCGGGTATCTCACTGCTGAGCCCTGAGGAAGTGTTCATGTGCTGCTGGGTATTTGCTACATTCCAAATTCACCAAGAGCAGACATTAGGATTCAGTCACTCCTGCGTGCAGGAATCCCTGCTGCCCAAGGAAGAAGGGGAAGGGTATTTACCCCACTACAGCTCCACCTTCTCAGGCAGCAGAAGCCTCAGTGCCTGCCATGCTGCCAACTGCATTTCTTCATCCGTCCACCAACTTTTAGCCCTGTTGTGTTTCCAGAACAAACACCCGGGGCAGGCTGGAAGCCTCTGCTCTGCAGCCAGCATGGAATATTCAGTGTTGGAACTGACCCTGATGCTGCAGAGGCTGAACCTGAAGTCAAACACAAGCCCCAAAAGGTGTGTGAGTGTTGGAGGTGGGAGCAAGAAATGTTTGGAACTGACAGCCGTTCCCACTGCCAGGGGTGAATGGACCACAGGATCTCACCAACAGCTCCAGTGCAACAGAACCATCTTAAAAACTGTGAGTAGCTTCATTGCTGCAAGTCCCCTTCCACCCAAGATAAACATCAATCAAGATAGAACCAAGGCCTACTGATTTCCTCCTGTCTTGCTCATTCCCTGGCCACACAAGCCTTGCAAAGCACTATTTTCCAGCCACACCTGCCAGTCTCTGTCACCATAACTGGGCTCTGCTGGCTCTCCACAAGCTCAGGTCTGAACAAACTGGGTGTCAGCAGAACTTTATCCCAAGCCCTCTCTACAACAGGAGAGGTTAAGGGGCTTCAACAAGTCACACTGACACCTGGAGCAGGGAACAACCTGATGGAGCACTGGTCCCCCACGAAGCACGGCAGGGGGACAACCGGTGACAACTTATTTATGTGCCCCTAAGCTGCAGAAAGCCTTTGGGGGGGTTATTTCCCTCCCTTTCCAGGGGCCTGTGCTGGGAATCACATTTCCTGGAAACCTTGGCCAACACAGATGCAAAGTGGCAGCAACATGCAGGTCAGTGCATCAGGGGATGGTTCTGCCCAGCAGAACACCCCCCCTTTGGGGTTGGCACAGTGGAAGTCGGGGTCTAGCACAGAACCTCGCGTGTTTAGAGCTAAAGCAGTGGAAAACTCAGGAACGCGAGTCCAGGGGTGGGAATGGGCGCGAGAGCTGACCTGATCCTGTCACTCGTCCCACTGTACCCCCAGCGGCTCTCCACCTGCTGGAAGCGGCTGATGCTGCACTCCTTGCCCCGCAGGCAGCACCGGGGCCGGTCGATGAACTCCACCCGCGGCTTCGGGTTCACCGTGAAGTGCAGGAACAGGCTCACCACCTCCCGGTCCGTCAGGATCCCCGACTGGGCAGGCCCTGCAGAGGGGAGGAACACAGCAATGCTGTCAGCCTTAGGGAACCACAGAGTCCTGGATTATTCTGTGTCAGGAGGAACCCACAGGAATCACTGATCCAACCCCTGCCCTGCCCAGACCCCCCAACAAGCCCACCCTGAGCATCCCTGAGAGCGCTGTCCAAACGCTCCTGGAGCTCTGGCAGCCTTGGGGCCGGGCCCATTCCCTGGGGAGCCTGGGCAGTGCCAGCAGCCTCGGGGGGAAGAACCTTGCCCTGAGATCCATCCCAAGCCCTGGCACAGCTCCAGCCCTTCCTGGGCTCCTGTCCCTGTCCCAGAGCAGAGCTCAGCCCCTGCCCCTCCGCCTCCCCTCGGGAGGAGCTGCAGCCCCCGAGGAGCCTCCCCTCAGTCTCCTCTGCTCCAGCTGAACGAGCCAAGTGCCCTCAGCTGCTCCTCAGAGCCTTCCCCAGCTCCGTGTCCCTCCTCTGGACACTCTCCAACAGCTTTGGATCCTCCTGATCTTGTGGGCCCCAGAACTGCTTAAGCAGAAGGAATCCCTCTGGAATTTTCATGGGGAAACAAGCCTGACTTGCAGCTGGGAACAGGCTAAACCCCCATCCCAGATGGGATCCCAGAGGTTCATCAGGATATCAAATCACAGACAAAGGTGCTGCCCTTTACCCACAGTGTAGTCATGGGCTGCAGAGCCTTCTCAGAACATGGAACTGTGATTAACTGCCCAGCTCTATGGAGCCAAAATACACTGGGCTACCAAAAAAAACCCAAAAGAATGCAGCTGAACCTTGTCCCAGTCCTTCTGGAAATGATAAGATTGGTAAGAAACAGGGATTTCCATACATTCCCCACCAGTGGTTCAGACATAACAGAGGAACACAAGGAGGAGGGAGAGGGACTCTTACACAGTTACCATCAACTCAAAAAGTTGAAGAGTATTTTCAACTCAAGACAAAGGTGGTTCAGCTCATTCCTTCAGGCATTTAATCCACATTTTGAATTTTAATACCTTTCTTGTAAAACCTTGGGGAAAATGCTAATTATTTTAGCAAGAGCTGGAGCACGTTCTCATCTTTTCTCCAGTAACAAGAGTTTTTTCCAGAGTGATCACAAAATCACAGAGTAGTCTGCGTTGGGAGGGACCTTAAAGCTCATCCAGTTCCACCCCTGCCATGGCAGGGACACCTTCCACCATCCCAGGCTGCTCCAAGCCCCGTCCAGCCTGGCCTTGGGCACTGCCAGGGATCCAGGGGCAGCCACAGCTGCTCTGGGCAACCAACTCAGTGATGCTCAACTCAGTCTTTGCAAACTACTTTGAATACTTTCAAAAATGAAACTGGATAAAAATTAGTCTGTCAGCCTAACACTCAAAAGCCTCTCTACACCCATTTGCACAAAGCTTTGAACAGAAACAAGACCACTGAGTACAACAGCAGTTAAATGCTCTTTAAAGTGGGGCGCAAATGCCCGCCTACTTGTAGGTCCAAAACTACTTGTAGCTGATTAAATTCTGCATGATGTTACCCAGACATAACCTGGTCCAATGATGCAATGGGGAGAGACTCAAGAATTCAAGGAAGTTGACTCCTCAAAAGTAAATGAGCTGTTGGATATTTTGTTCAGCAAAAAATTGGCCTCACTGATCGTGTCTGAACTTATCCCCTGTTACTGCAACTCATTTCTGCAATGTTTCAAATTACCTGCTCTAAGGGAAGGGAGGGACACATTTGCCAGTTAAAACATCTTCATGCAAAGCCCCACGTTTGATACCAGATTATACAATAAACTGGTGAAACCACTGCTATAAAATTCTCTCTTCTTTTGGCTTTTGGGAGAGAGGGATGTGGAGGAGAAAACGTTTCCCTCTCCTGTCTCTGCTCTGATCACCACAGAAATCAAAGTCACTCAGAAACCCAGAAAAAGGACAAAGCTGAAGAAATTCCAAGTTAATTCCTTGTTTAAAGAACAGCTGATCATTGCAGTCCCCCAGGTTTGGAGGTTTTATTCAACTTTTAGGTTAAAGTGGATGGAGAAAACTTAAGAATTCCTCTTAAAGCACGAAGGTCCAAGTGGGACAGGCAGTTTGTGACAGACAACATGGGAAGGGGCACTGGCACTCCCAGCTCAAAGCCTTCAACCCAAACATGCCAAAATTAACACTTTCCTTCCACTGAGAGAATAATACAAGGTCATAAGGAAGGCTTGAAAGAAATGGGATTTGCAGAAAAATGCAAAGATCTCTGCTTCACTGAGCAAGCTCCTTCTGAAGAAATCCACATCCCTAAGGCCACATCACAGCTGTGACAGGCCAAGCAGAGTGGGGACCAAGTTTGAAGCACAGATTTTCTCCTTACTGCCACCCTCCTCATGTGGGAACAGGGACATGAAGGACTGATCAGCTGACGCCAGCACTGCCCTGAGAAGTGACCTGCAAGGGAAGGGGGTCAGTGCCCCTGTTTGCTTCTGTGTACACAGCACTGCAGCCTGGAACAAGCTGCAGTCTGGAAAATGGCTCCACTGTGTCTTTTTAGCATGAAAACTATTTAAGCCGATTGCCAGCTTCCAATCCCCCGGGAATCACCAGAGGATGAAGTGAAAGACAACAAGCAAAGAAAACAAAACAAGGCAATCTATAGTCCAAGCTGTGAAATGAGTTAGACATCTCTGTGGATCAAGATCTTAATGTAAACTTGAAAAATGCTTTGAGACACAGACTAAACAACACCAAGCCTGCAGCTCAAAGAACATTTTCAAAGTCTTTTGGATACGGGGCTCTGCTCTGAACAGCACCGGCAAGGCAGGGCCAACACCACCACAGGCAGAGGATGGGGAGAAATATCCCCATTTCTCTTTGGGAACAGGCTATGATCAACACCAATTATTTGCAACTCCATTAGCTTTGTCTATTTCAAATTCTCAGGATGGCTGGAAAGGGGAGCAGGTGAACCCCAGTATGGATCTTTGCTGTCAGCTGAATGAGACAGTAACCACCCAAGGATGCTGTGAGAGCCAGCACAGCTGTGATCACCCTGCTCCTCCCAGGGGAGCACCACAGGCTTTAAACCGAGTGAATGGGCACAGATGAAAATGGCATTTAGACAGGAGATTTTGTAATCGTAGAATCACAGAAAGAGTGTTGGAAGGGACCTTAAAGCTCATTAAGTTCCACCCCTTGCCATAGGCAGGGACACCTATTATCCCAGAGTACTCCAAGCCCCATCCAGCCTGGCCATGGACACCTCCGTGGATGGGGCAGCCACAGCTGCTCTGGGCAACTTGAGCCAGGCCCTCACACCCTTATACTACAGAATCTCCTTCTGATATTCAGTCTAACTCTGCCTTCCTTCAGAAGGCCATTCCCCCTTGTGCTGTCACTCCAGGCCCTTATGAAATGTCTCTTTCTAGCCTTCCTGTAAACCTCTTTTAGGGGCAGAATGGGGAAATGGGGAGTAATACGGGGAAAATCTCATATTTGAAACACAACAGAAGACACAGAGAAAATCCTCTTTCATGTGACTTGACTCCCTGTAGCTGAGGAAAAGCAAAGACCAGGATTGCCAGAAACACCTTTGTTGAGTTACCTGCTGCAAACTCCTCAATAGTCATCAGTGGGAAGCGGATAAGGGAGAGAGCTTTGCCCAGAACCTTGCGCTTGTTCTCTGGAATCACCTGGAGCTGCTGCCGCTGACACTCGGCCTCCGACCAGCGCACCACGGCATTGAACAGGCGAACCTCCCGGATCCCCAGGGTGTCCCTCTCCAGCACTGCCACCAGGGTGTCTGCAGGGCACGACAACAGGCACAGCTTCAGCCTCTAACCCCAAATCAGCCCCTTTCACCTCGTCAGGAGCACCCCACGCACAGCCAAGGTAAAAGAGGAAGCAGCTGAACCAACAGCATCTCCCAAAAGTGCTGCCTGCAGCCTCTGAGGAAGATTTATCTGCATATTCCATCAGCAAGGAACTCACTGGAGCAGCAAACAGAGCCCATTTAACTGGCATGTTAATGCAAGTGCAGGAGGATGGATTGCAACTTGCTTGACGTCAAATTTGGATGAAACAAACAGCCTGAAAGCCAGAAGGTGACCCGTGCCTTACCTCCACAGCCCATCTCATTAGAAGAAGGTTTAAGCCTGAATTTTAATGTTCATTAACTGTGCCCAGCAAGTTTGGAAACTGCAGACGGTACTTAAAATAGCCAGTCCTTGCTTCCAAAAACACAACACCTTTTTAACTCCAAAACCTCACAAAGACTTGGGGAACAAAGCCAACTCTACAAAAAAAGACAAGTTTACACCCACCCAAAACCTGCCAACATCAACACAGGAAGCAGGCTTTGTGTCATGCCCAGAAAACTCAAGTTGCACCAAAGTAAGCAGATTCCAGGGTATTTCTGCAGGCAAGGCAGCAAACTCTCTGGCAAATTCCCTGTCTCCAGCCACTTTGTGCCAGAGACTATTCAACTGATTGCTCCAGAACAGCCAAGCCACAAGTGCCAAGCATTATTAACCTGTAACAACTTTGGAGACAAGCTGGTTATGAAAGCAGGGAGAGTGAGAGGGAGGGGTGGAAAAGAGCTTACCCAGGTCAATGTCTGTAAACCCCTCTGCATTGATGGCATCTGAGGTGTTCTTGTCTATGTTCTCCAGGCACAGGCTGGCCAGCTGGGGCTCATCAAACAGCCGGGCCTAGGCAGGAAAGAGCATCATTAACAGAAAATACATTTTAAAGTTTACACTAAGAATCCCCCTTCCCCTGCCACAGCCCATCTTCATTAGCAATACCATGCCTGATTGCACCAGGAATCCACTGGGCCTTTCACAAGCAGTTAAGCATGACAAGGCAAACACTAGAAAATTCTGTGTTTGGCAGCAGCCCTGGTTCAGCTGTGCATGTCTTCAGGCACGTCTTTGTTTTAACATGGCCTGGTGCAGGCACCAATCGTGCTTTCCAGCACCACACTGACCCTGTCAGCTGAGCACAGGCAATTTTTACATCATTTTTCTATTTACAAGAAAGCTTTTCCCAGTGACTCCAGGCCTGCTTGCTCTAGGAATAATGCAGAGGCAGCTTATTCTGTAAGAGCAGCCACACTGATCTTGTGTATTAGCAAGAAAAAGCTGTAGCAGCAGTGCCTGTGTGTCCTGGGGTACCCTACAGGGTACACAGCCTGCTTAGTGCATTTCCATGTTTTGCACAGAAACAGCTATTCTAATCCAGTTACCTCAAAGAATTTGTCCCAAAATAGGTTACTATTCCAAGCAAAGCCTGTACACAGCCTCCAGAGCTGCTCAGAATTTCTCTGCCCAAATTAAGTGAAGCCTTGTAACAATTCTGCTGCCATTTCAGATCACCCTGGACTGCCAGGTGTTACCAGCCCTACACCCAGCACAAGCAGAAATGGGTGGAACACATAAAAAACACTAAATGACCTCTTACTTCAGCACTTTGGTTTTGCTGTTTAGGAAGGAACTGCCTTAACATCACACCTAACAAGAATACACCAGACTTGAACTCACTGCCACAGGTAAGGTTTTAAACTTGTGTTTTGGGCTGGGAATTCCATCACTCAGGAGGCACCTTCAAGCATCTTCTGCTTCACCCCTGCTTGTGGCATGCAGAGCTCAGCAAGGCCAACCTTTGTGCTGAGATCTCAAGTGCAGGAAGCTGAAACAACAATTTCTCAGGGCTCAGGGAAACTTCAGCCGTTGTCACCTGCTCCAGGGGCTGGAGTGCTGCCAGTGCCTTTACACTCTTGGCATCAAGAGCTGTGACTGACTCAGACTTTACTACTGTAGTGGCTCTTTGGACACGTGAGGACTTTGATGCCGAGCAGAGCTCTCCACCACAGCAGCTCCAGGCAAGCTTTATTTCCTTGCTGATCAAAGTGACACTTGGATCTACGTCTGGCATGAGACAGGATCACGGTTCGCTACGAGGCACAATCAATTAGGAAAGCTGTTTGCCTCTGATATTTCTGCTACTGATCAGCAGTTGCTTGAGACAGACAGTGACACAGCTGCTGGACCAGCAGATTCAGCAGACACACAAAAAAGGAGGTTTGGGGCTCTGCCTGGGATCACAGGTCCATGATCTTAAGGCTACTGGGCAATGCCTTGTACAAGATTTATCTCAGGTCTGTAATTTACTGAAGAGGTTGTTGGTTTGATGCAGTGAAAGCAGAAAACAGGTAGGTTTTCACACTGCAGGACCAGAAACAAGAGGGTTGTGAGAAGAGATCCTTTCAGTGAGGTGCAGCCAATCATCAATATCAGGCATGATTCTCAAGCCTCAAACATCTCAGACTTGATACAGAGCAACGGTGAACATAAAACTAGATGGGAATCACCACTGATAATTAATCAGAATGGACAAGCCACAAACAAAAGGAATCAGGAAAGCCTTTCCCCATCTGGCATTTCACCTGCCCCAGTGCCAGTGATGGAGTGCCAGGCAGTATTTTGGGTTTGGGACCTGAAACACAAGGATACCTTCCTCCTTTGCCAAAGAGCCTTTATGACCTCTAAGGAAGTCATCCACCATAAACCTAAATATTACCTTGCCAAAGCTACAAACTTAGGTGCAGAGACACAGGAAGCCACAAAAAAATCTCTGCATAAGGAATACCACCAAAAGCCAAAACCTCTAACCCATCATGAGGCAGTGGCTAGCTTAAGATGCCTCCCCAAAATTTCAGTCTACAGGAATGATCTGTTCCCAGCTCTGGCTAACAGCTTCTGATCTTTCAGATTGCAGCTGCTGAACCCAAAGAACAGGAGAGCTGCAGCCAAGGAGCTGCAATTGTCCCACCATGCATCAGATGGGAGCACACATTTGGCTGCCATTTCCCACTCAAGAGCCTTCAAGTCCTGAATCTGCTTCTGGGAAGTGCAGTGTGGATCCCCCCCATCTCAGGGGCTGCCTCATCTGTTCATGCACGTGGAAGAGGGCCAGGTTAAAGGGGATGTGTAAAGACAGCCATGGAGTGTTGCAGCAGTAGCTGAACCCAAGCAGTGACAAGTGTCTACAACAGCAATGTGACATGGAACTACTTTGAGAACTGATCCAAATATTTAAACTCAAAAAAAAAATCCCAGCCTAATCCTGAGCAAAGAGCTCTGCAGTGGCTGCTTCAGGCCAGCACTGCTTCAATATCTGCACAACTGCTGGTGTAGCCACTGCCAGCCACATGGTACCTACAGCCACAGCCTGAGAGACACCTGTACTCCTGACAAGGGGGAAAAGTCCAGCAGACAGGAATGCTGGGCAAGACAGGCAATCCCTCAGAGCCAGACCACCTTAGTGTGCTGGTTCACAACCCAGTGCAGCTGGGAAGCTCCTCTGCAAGGTCTATTTAACATCAGACAACACAGCAGCTTTCCTGACTGGCTGATGAGAAGTACCCCTCCAGAGCCACTCCAGTCTGCCCATTCCCTAAAGAATCTCACACACAAAGGCTGTGTGTTTCTTATTTCTACAGCTCCCAGAACAGTGTGTCCCTGTCAGTGCCAGACTGCACCACACAGGTGACAGCACTGTGGGTGTCACCAATAGGGCATCAGCTGTCCAAGAGAGAGTGGAGGGACCAGAGAGAGACAACAGGGCTGGGAAACAGGGATGATAGTGATGCTCATTTAATCAATCTGGTTGCAAAGTCTGATCTTTTCCAAACTTTGTAAACATTGTCCCCTACTTTTCTGCTTCAAGAGTCAAATGGAAGGTGGAGGAGCCCAACCCTCAGAGACTGGATCAGACCCAGGGCCAAGGAACAGCTGCTCTGACACTCTGGGTCTGTGAGCCTTCAGTGCAGGAGGCTGGGCTGGAACAGGCTGAGGAAGAAAGCACCTTGTTCCTTTCCCAGGAAAATAAACCAAAGCACTCATGAAAAGGTTTTCTTTCACCCCCACTACAGGGAATGTATTGCACAAAAGTCCTTCAAGGAACGGCTGAGCAGCGAGACACAGCACTGAGAGAAAGCTCAGCATTACCAGTCCTGATTCTGTAACACACGGAAATCCTCTCATTCCACTTTTCTTCTTGGCAGATGAAATCTTTCCACCCTGTTAACTCCATCCCCAGCTCACACTCTGGAAGGAACCACCTGCCACAGTGAAACAGAAAGATCTGAAACAGCAGCAATGTTTGCTGTATTTTACTGTTCTTTGTAAGAACATGCTCAGCAGTGCTGGACTCCTGTGAGGAAGAATTCAAAACGACCCAGAACTGCTCCACTTTGGATGATCAACTCTGCAACACCCAGAAAACTCCCATTTTCTGACTGTGCTGGACTATGCTGAAGGCAGATGATCACAAACTCACCTGAGTTAACAGCATGAAAGCGTTGTCTGCTCGGAGGTTTTTTTTAAGAAACTCCACACAATGAGCTTCAAGGGCTGGAACTGCATATTTCTTAGCCGTGTAAAGTGTTGTCATAACAGTCTCTGGTCCAATCTGAACTTCGTCTGAGTAAAGAAATCTGAAAACATGCAAACAAACATTGTTATGGTGAATTAGTATTACCCTGTTAAGGGTAAAACCCCTGCAATTCATAGAAAACATGTTTGTGCCTTTGCCTGTCATCCTGGTCCATTTCCTCTGCTGGAGATAGAAGGGTTTTCACATCCTTTCCACTGACTCTGGTTTACCAAGCTCTTGAGGCTTTTTTGTAACAGACATTTTACAGTATAACTTTTAACAGCTCAAACTGCCTTGCATACTACCACCAGTGAGCTCTTGGCCTGTCACTTATACCAGGGTAAAACAGTCTCTGGCCAAGTGCACCCCTTAAAATTCCTATTTTTGTCTTTTCAATTAGAATAAACAAGGACAAAGATTCAACCTTGCCTTCATCCCTTAGCAGAGAAACTTCCTTTTACACTACTAATTCAGAAGTGCTGAGAAGCACTCAGACATATCCATCCACTGCACACGAGGTGCTCTACCCACACTCCCCTTTCTCATCTCTTCACTTTATAGATTGAACTGTTTAATTTCATGACACAGAAGTTTAAGTGCAGCTCACAATATAACTTCAGCATAAAGCAAGAGTTAATTGCAGTGAAAAACAAGGACTGCCATGCTTCAGCAAAGCACCAGCCTTCACTGTTGGGCCAAAACAAGGAAGCACATTCATGACCTGAAAAACAAAGGAAACCTGACTGAACCCCCTCATACCTGAGCTCACTGACCAGAGACAGCAGGAACTGAGAGGCTGAGATCAGTAAAACCAGTGATGCACTGGTGTTAGGCTTTATCACAGAACCCCAGAATGGTTTGGCTTGGAAGGGACCTTAAAGACTGTCTTGTTCCAGCCCCTACCATGGGCAGGGGCACCTTCCACAGGTTACTCCAAACCTGTCCAACCTGGCCTTGGACACTGCCAGGGATCCAGGGGCAGCCACAGCTGCTCTGGGCACCCTGTGCCAGGGCCTGCCCACCCTCCCAGCCAACAATTCCTTCCCAATATCCCATCCAGCCCTGCCCTCTGGCAGTGGGAGCCATTCCCTGTGTCCTGTCCCTCCAGGCCTTGTCCCCAGTCCCTCTCCAGCTCTCCTGGAGCCCCTTTAGGCCCTGCAAGGGGCTCTGAGCTCTCCCTGGAGCCTTCTCTTCTCCAGGCTGAAGAGTCCATGCAGCATTTTTTTTACTGCATCTCCTTCAACCAGTGGAGCATCTGCCAGTCAGGATCTCAAAGGCACAAAGCACAGAGATGTAATATTGTGTTAACTGTACTGGGCATTCCTATTCCAGGGGATGTTTTGGAAAATCCAGCAATTTCTTGCTCTGTGTTTCTCTGAAGGGGACACAGCAGCAGGTTGTGTGGCTGCTACTCCTGGCAGCTTCATGCAGCAGCAGGGCTCTTCCAGGGGGATGCCAGGCAGCATTCCCATCTGCAGCAGAGGAACTCCTGCTCCTCCAGCTAGAGAAGACCATGATGCCATTCAGGAAAGCATCAACAGTATGATCCACAGGCAGGGAAGCACTCTCACTGCTGAAAGCAGGCTTTTGTGCTGCTCCAGGGCATTTGTCAATAGCATTATCATGCCACAGGTTCATCAATGTATTTTGCACACATCCCTTCCCAGCCCCATTTGCACTGAGCAATCATTTCTATTCCAAGATTAAAAGAACACAGTGGCTCTAAAACAAATTATTTGTTTACTTCAGTGACTGTGTCAGTATTTCTGTTTACCACAGTCCAGTGTGCACGAAGACAACAAGAGAGGCTCAAACTGTGAAAAAGCCCAGTACAATTTAAAAGAACATTTATACTGTAATCAGTGTTTTCATCTTCGGGTTAACATGAAAATAATAATGAAAAATAATCTCTTACACAATTACAGCAGACCTATTAAAGGTCACTAGCCCACAAACTCCATCAAAATCCAGCATCCAGATGGGACCTTCTGCAGAACATTCAGGGTGGGCACTTTGTCCCTGGATAAGCCCCTGATCCTACAGCATTAGATCATGGCTTGGATCAAGTCCAGAGACATATGTAAGGATCAGCTGCCATTCCAGATCAGTGTTTAGAGGGATTGGTTTTACTCCACGAACTCAAAGCCCATACTTGGTCAGCTTTCTCCTGGAAGCAGCACCCAAACTTCCTCTGGCACATTTAAGCTCTGAGCATTTTAAAAGCAATTTAAAAGCTCAGTTCTAGATTTAAGCACCCAAGATGTCATTGGACCACGGGCACAGCTACTGCAGCATAACCGCAAGCTCAGAGTCACTGAGGTAATCCACCAATGATTTCTCCCATAAAAAATAGAAATATTTTTGCTGAAATCCACCTAAAGTCATCACTTTGTCTTTTGAGATGATGGGTCTCTTCTGAAATCCCTCTGTTTAATCAAGTGCTGAAATCGCAGCACTGGCAGGGAAACAACAGGATTTTTGCCTCTAATTCACTGGATATTTGGGCCTCACTAAGACTTAACAATAGTTACAAGCTCTGCACTCCAGAGAGATCCACATGGCTGACAGGCACACACCAATTAGAGGGATTCTGGTGTCTGCTTTAAAGAGAGCCAAAGGGGAAGGGGCTCAGGGCTCCCAATCATTTCTGGCCCTTCATTCTAGCCCAGATCAATTTTAAAATATTCCAAGATAGCACAGGCAAAACCAAAGCACTTTCTGAAGGTAAAGCAAAAAGTGTGCCAGAGCTATATATAGTGACTGCTCCCTGTAGGAAGCGAGAGGGGAACATGTCAAGAGCACAGGACTGGAAACCCCTGGAAGTAGGTTACAGAAATCCTATAGAAACAGGACAATGACTTTCCATCATCCATTCAGGATTGCTGCTGGATGTTGTACAGCACCAGCCAAGCTTAAAGGAATTGGTGAATAGGACGTTACAGCCCCTTCCTCCTCCTTCTCCAGCACACAGACTTGCAACACACACTGGAAATGTAAATTCAAACCCAGCTCTCCAAAAGAAGAATAAAACCCACACAAAGGGTGATACCACATGGAATGGCTGACATTTATTACACACCCCTGTGCTTACCTGTTACAACTCGCTTGTGACCTAAACAAGCTCCAAGTATTTTTAACTTACAGACCTTTCAAAAGATCACTTTTCCCCTCTTCTCTCAAAGAGCAATTGGATGAAACCAATCCAATTAATGAATAAGAGGCTATAATACAATGGCCCATAATACATACATATACTTTTATAAGTTTTTTTTCTACACCAAATCTGTGTATCCCAGTTATCCTGGGCTTTAGAAGCAGCTTACTTGAGCAGAGCTAGGAAGGCAGCAGGCTCCACGTCAGGCAGCTCAATCTCTGTGGAGGTTGTGGCCATCCCACCATTAAACATTGCATCAAAGACAGCGCTGCCCACGGCCAGCACGAACCTAAGGTGGAAAAAACAAACATGCAAATAAAACCTTATGTTAAATCATATTATATTCAAAAAAAAAAAAAAAACAGGCTGGTTGCTAATCCCCAAAGTCACCCTCAGGGAAAGCAAATCGTTTGTGGAGTTAAAGCACAAGTGTTTTGCAAGAGCAAGGAGGGTCAGGCTTGCTGCTTCTTAACTGCAAAGCACCAAAGCTGCAAGGAACTTCCTTCTGAGCCCTGGCATACAGCACAATAATGGTTCCCCAAAGGCCAGAATTTGGGAATTATGGAATAGAATACACACTGCTGCTTTGCAAAGTCCCCATAGGAGCCTATGTATCATCCCAAGGCTGAGAAGCAAAGAAACAGCAAATTAGGGAGTTCGAGTTCTTCCAGTAAACAGAGACCAAGTTTTGCTGCAATTCCCCACAGTCACCTACTGGAAACACTTATGGAAAACTTGTCACTGCACACTACCCATCCTCTTCCATAGGCCCAGGCACACATCTTCGGTGACAGCAGAGCAAGCTCCCAAAACACAAAACTGCCCCAGCAACAGCCCCAGGAGCTGCAGATCCCAAGCCCTGGCATGGGAGCTGCCCTCCCCAGGCATGCTGCTGCATCCTTCCACGGATGGATAATCTGCTCTGGGCTCAGCCCAGAGCGAGGAACAAACCTCCCCCAGAGCAAAGCAGCACAGTGAGGTGCACACAAACCCTTCAGCACTGCTGGGAGCTTACGTGGTAATTACTGGCACAGAGAAGGTCATTGTTTGCCCTAAAGAGACTGGAAGCAGGAACTTGCACAAAACAGGTTTGAGACCAAAAATTTATGTCCCAGCACTCCCATGCAAACAAGATAATTCCAACATCTCCTGTTTTAGGAGGAGGCCCAGGCCAGGGCTGCTGAGGAGCCTGTGTATATTTAAGCTGCTGTGCCTGCCTCAGGACTTAGAAAGCCATTGTGAGAACTTTCCTGTTCAAAACTGCAGAGATGAGCTTTTGCCATGAAGGATTCCTGTGTCTGCCACCATGCAGCTCCCTGAAGTTAAACTGAAGGCCACAGCTCAGCAGTGTGGGGAAGCAGAGCAGCCCTGGCTGCCAATGACTACAACCACTTCTTTACCAACTATAAAAAGGAAAAAGCTGGACTATTCCTTGCTGCAGTGGTTTGATGCACACTTCCACAGAAGCAGCAAAAACTGCAGGCAGAAATCCATACAAGACAGCAGGCATGGGGCAGAAAACTCCAGCCCAAGAAAAGTCCAGCACTAAGGGGGAATTTCAGTCAGATTTAATAGGAAATGACCTTTTAAAAAGCAGGAAATTTCCACTTAAACAATGTTTTCATTTTCTCACTTTTCACTCCCCTCCCATCCAGAGGAAGCTTCCCAGGGATACAATGGAGTGAAGCTCCATGGATGTGCCAGGCTCATTTGCTATGACAGAGTTTGGCTGACGAGACGGCTTATTGTTCCTGATGGGCCCAGGGAGCTCAGGACAAACCACAGTGGTTACAAAAAAATATACACATGCATATTTCTGTCAAACCATTCTCAAGAA